CACTTCCAGGCCCGCCCTCCGGGCACGCCTCCCCCTGGTATTTTCGGGACTTTCCTAAACTGCTCTAACTTTCTGCCCCTTCCCCGGCCCAGCCCAGCTCCGCCGGATCTCGCCCGCCACACCCCGACGGGCAGCTGGAGGACATCGGACCCTCCCCCAAGTCGGGGACTCCTCCTGCCCACCCTCTCCTGACCTGTCCCCCATCCCCTGCCGCTGCTCCCCGTCATAGGCCGGTGCCCTAAAACTCTAGGAAGCAGAACCAGGGCCGAAGCCACCACACCGGGCCCAGCCCAGAGATATGGACACTTGCTACGACCCAGTGAGTCCCGCTGCCTGGCCCTGAAAGTGGCCGGTGCCCCGCGTGTCTGCCTGCCTGCCAGAGCCCCCTTGCTCCCTCCTGCCTGTGTCCCCGGGTGGCCCTAGCCCGCCTTTGCCCACCTGTCTGCAAAGCTCCCCCCCCCAGGAGCTTCCCAGGGGGCCTGAGGAGGAGGGCAGAGGTCACTAAGGGCTCGGGGTCAGCCAGCACCTCCACCTTGTCTCCAAACCAGGGCCTGGATGGCCTCGATGAATATGATGATTTCAAATTCAGCCCGTCCATGGCCGAGCCCAAGGAGCCAGCCCCGGAGACGGGTCAGTAAGTCCTTTGGCCTCCCCTTGTCTTGGAGGGGCAGGGACAGCTCGTGCCCTCTACCGGGGAGGGCGCTCTGAGCGCTGGCTCAGCGAGGCCCTCTGTCCCCAGCTGATGGCCCCTACCTGGTGATTGTGGAACAGCCCAAGCAGGTGAGTGAGCGAAAGGGGTGTGTGGCCCAGCTTCAGCTTTGGGGGCAAGTGACAGCTGCGCCTGTGGCCGTGGGGCCAGGGTAACTGGAGTAGACCGCAAAGTTTGGGTGGGTGGCGGCGGTTCAGGGAGGATGCTTGGTGCCACTGTGGCCCCTGCTGGCCGGAAGTGGGTGGTCTCTTGGTCACAGTGTCACTCTGCCCCGGACCTCCAGCGAGGCTTCCGGTTTCGGTATGGCTGTGAGGGGCCTTCCCACGGAGGCCTGCCTGGTGCCTCCAGCGAGAAGGGCCGGAAGACCTATCCTACTGTCAAGGTGAGCCTGGATGGGGCTGGATGGAGGACAAGGTCACAGCATGGTCAGGGCTCCCCTGACAGCCTTGCCCCTCTCAGATCTGTAACTACGAGGGACCGGCCAAGATCGAGGTGGACCTGGTGACACACAGTGACCCACCTCGTGCTCACGCCCACAGCCTGGTGGGCAAGCAGTGCTCGGAGCTGGGGGTCTGCGCCGTGTCTGTGGGCCCCAAGGACATGACTGCCCAGTAGGTGTCCCCGAGCCCTGACCCACTGGGGTGCTCCCTCATCACCCCAGCCCACCCGTGTGCAAACTGTGACAGGCTCAGGTGGGCCCTAGAGCCCAAGGGCCAAGCATTATAAACTAGAACGACTTCCTTGAGGAAGTCAGGCTGGGCTAGGGCAGGCCCCCGAAAGGCGACCTCAGGAGGAAAGGACTTCATGGAGACAGGCCTCTGGCTCCTCCCCTTCCAGGTTTAACAATCTGGGTGTCCTGCATGTGACCAAGAAGAACATGATGGAGATTATGATACAGAAACTTCAGAGACAGCGGCTGCGCTCCAGGCCCCAGGGCCTAACAGGTACAAGGCAGAGGAGCCAAGGGAGGCGCCTGGGAAGGAGCAGGGCAAGGGAGGAGCCCGAGGTCACTCTCTGCTGCGCACTCAGAGGCTGAGCGGAGGGAGCTGGAGCAGGAGGCCAAGGAGCTAAAGAAGGTGATGGACCTGAGCATCGTGCGGCTGCGCTTCTCCGCCTTCCTCCGGGCCAGCGACGGCTCCTTCTCCTTGCCCCTGAAGCCAGTTATCTCCCAGCCCATCCATGACAGCAGTGCGTGTCCAGACCCCGGGGGGTGCCGGGCCTGGGCCAGAGGGACCACGAGGGGCACTCGGGCTGGGGGTCGAACGGGCCTGGGCTCGCACTGGGCGCTGCCCCTCGAGCGCGCCCCTTCTTCCCTCCGAATGTCGCCCTATCCTTGGCGGAGCGTGAGGTGGCAATACCTCATCTCACCGACCCTCTCCGGCCCCAGAGTCTCCGGGTGCCTCGAACCTGAAGATCTCCCGAATGGACAAAACGGCGGGCTCTGTGCGGGGCGGAGACGAAGTTTATCTGCTCTGTGACAAGGTGCAGAAAGGTGAGGCTGGAGCCCTGGCTGGCCCGGGGCGCTGGGGAGGCCAGGCCAGGCCGCGCC